GGTGGGGAGCGGGGTCAGCGGCCACCCTGAACGTCGCCCTTCAGCCCGGCCTCGCCTGCCTCTGCGCTTCCCCCTTCCCGCTGCGGGTGTGCTCGGCCAAGGGACACTCCGCAAGCCTGCCCTGGGGTGAAGGAGCCCTTCCCAGGGGCTGGGTAGAGGCACACGTCGCCTCTGTAGTCTCGCAGACCCCTGGTGCAAGTGAAGGCATGCACCTGTCCTCCGTGTTGGTGTCACAGAAGGGACAGCAGGCTGCAGAGTTTGTTGGGGAGAAGTTCCTCTGTCTGACCCAGATCATGAATCTGCAGGCCAAACATCTAAGACTTCGTTGTTATCTGTTCCTGTAATAAGCATCTGGCTGCTTTTCTTCCTCCAACTGAGTTTGGTTTTGTCAGGTACAAGTAGGCTTTATTTTCTCTTATTTGTGCAGATTGGCTAGTGGGCTGGACGCTCTGTAGCAGGTGCTGATGCCAGAAACAGATATGGTGGTCTCATAACTAAACCTTGGTTTTGTCCATTTTCCTCAGAAACTGATTTGGTTTATTTCCATCGGTTACCAAAACAGCGAAATACCTTGCAAGTAGGAGAAAAGTATTAAAATAATTACAGCACTAATAGATTAACACAACATTTGTTTAGGTAACCCATACATCTTGCCTTAATGACATCAGTCTGATTTGTAATCATTCTATGTCTTTTGCAGCATATGGTCCTGAAATTTTAGTTTTACAGAGTTTATCAACAGACATCCGTCATGTCTTGGCTTGCTGATCTTGCTGGAAAGGCAGAGGATCTACTCAACAGAGTTGATCAAGGAGCTGCATCAGCTCTGAGCAAAAAAGACACAGCAAGCAGAACAGTTTATGATAATAAGAATTTGGACTCTGCCAATGAATATTCTGAATTACGCCAGCATACTGGAGAATTGAAATGTCAGACGTCATCCAAAGCAGCCTACATCTCCTCGGCAGCTGATAATATTAAACATCAAAAGGCCACAATCCTAGCAGGAACAGCAAACGTTAAACCAGCACGTAGGACATCTTTGGAGGTTGCTTCACCAGTAGAAAGTGTTTCCACACCCAGAGCTGCCTCACATTTTGTGAGAAGAAAAAAGTCAGAACCTGATGATGAGTTGCTATTTGATTTTCTCAATAGTTCGGAGAAAGAGCCTAACGGAAGGATGGACTCTAAAAAAGAGAAGAGCAAGGCACCTGTTCTTCAAAATCACTCTCGGACTTCAAGCATTAGTTCTGTGTCTACCAGTACACAGAGTGCAAAAACTACTGAAGATAATTCCATCAGGAGCCAAGGCAATGGTACTTAAATAGTATTGAACCTAGAGATATTTAAAACCCAAGTATGTCTAGGGTAAGGCTAGGTAATGGATTTACTGTCACTTCATGAAACGTTTAGTGGTAGTAGTATGTCAAATGTGTGTAGTACAGCAGGGTTGTTAACATTTTTTAATCACTGGGATAATCTTAGATACCATGCTAATTTGACAAGCTGCATAACTAATACCTAAATCTTTTGTGTTCTCGAACTACCTGATTGCTACTGCTCACCTTGACCTCCCTGAGCTATACCCTAACCTTGCATCAGCCCCCATACATCCCCACCTAGAAGCACAGGTGCTGCTGCATTTGTTTGATCACTCAGGGGCCCTTACCTGTTGTTGCCATGTAGGAGAGTGAGTGACTTTCACCGCCTGGTAGGTGGTGTTGGCTGTTGCCCAATGCACCATGTGAGGTGATGGGAGGTTTTGCTGTTCCATCATGGAAGAGGGGTAAGCTGTCAAACTTGCTTGTCCTGCAGAGTGCGAAGTTGGATGTGGATAGGCTGTTGTAGAGCTACAGGCATGAGAGCGCTAGATAGATAAAGCCTTCGGGTTTTGCCAGTAGTAGTTCATTACTGCAGTCTAAATCCAGATGCCTGAAAAAGCCTCCAGGCCAGATGGTCAAAAGTTAGGGCTATTCTCAAGTCAATGCAAAGGAGAATGTGGCTGGGAAGTGTCAGGAACTTGTGTTCTCTATCAGACTGTCCAGTCTATACTCAGTCCTTGCTGTCGCTGTGCTGCTTTGCTGTTGTTTATTCTATAAAATTGAAGCAAATTATTATATTATTTCTTAATAATGTAGTTAGAATACTTTATTATTTGTTCAGTACTTTGAGCGTGTGAAGCATTGTAAATGCCAGTTTTTTAATTACTACATTAAGTATGCTGAAAAGTTTTAGACGTAAAAAGGGATCATTTCCAAAAATGTGAGTATTTTTACATTTCTGGGTCTGTAACTTTTCAATAAGGTTTACTACTACTACTACTACCACTAATTCAAACATGTTAGACCTGGCTAACCAAGGCCTTGCTGATTGGTGCTTAAGGGACATACTTGTTTTGCTCAGTGTGGCCTGTTGAATTTTCTTCTGAGGATTTTTGAGTGGAGTTTGCATTGTGGAGCTGCCAAATGAGGAAGCACGCAATTACAACATGGAGTTTGAGCACGCTGGCTTCAAAGTTGACTGTATAGATATCTCTGTGTCATCTAAATATTCTGTATAGCATCTGTTGAAGTAGCTTATGATACATTAGCTATAGACAAAACCAATTAACGTTATACTTTATACATTGCCGTGGATATAATCTAATATGTGCTATAATAATTTCTTGCTTTGTTAGCTTCATTAATCTATTGAGTTTTCCAGACAAAGAAATGAGGGTAAATTGTCTGATAATTTGGAAATTGTGTAAATGAATCAAAAGGAAGGAAACGACACTTCTTAGAACCATTTAAATAGGAAAGGGGTTTGAGAAAATGTGGAAGAAATCTTGCTGTCACTGCTGTTACTGGTTGGTGTGTTGTTGTTCAGAATTAATAGTCTGCCCCAGCTCCCTGGGCTCTGGGTGATAGGAGCTGTTGCAACGGTAACAAGGAAGGTGGAGCAGGTTGGTTGGTGATCACAAGATGAAGTAAATAATGTTGTGACAGCTAAACTGCAGTCTTGCTTGGAATTTGTTGCAGTCTGTCCCCCTGGATTTTCAACAGTTACTCATCTGGGACATATTAAATTCAGAAGTAATATTTTTGGATCACCTGCTTGTATGCTTATTGCGTGCTATGTTGTTTTATCTTAACACTGCTGCAAAACTTCCAACTATCTGCATGCTGGAATCAAGGCTATTACAGTGGATGTATCAATTTCACAGCATTAGTCCGGGACGCTCGGTGTGTGTTTGTGCATGATGGGGAAAGGCTGTTGGTTCCTCCTTCCCTGCAAGGGGCTGTTGTTCAGAATACTGCCAGGAGTTGCCTTACTGTTCTCACTGAGGTTCTAAGATTTAAAAAAAAGAAAAAGAAAAATCTGTATTTTGGTGTCCACAATCTAGAGAATTACAGTTTGTATTGGCAGAAAGCTTTTTGACAGAGTTTGACAGAGTATATCTACCTTACATTTTTTCATTAGAGAAAGGAGAGATCATGCTTCTGCTTCAAATTACTGCAACTTGATTTCTCATAGTAAAAGTGCTTTTGAAAAAATATTTTGAGAGAATTATTAATACAGAATTATCAGTGAGGTGAGGTTTTGACTGAAATTATTCTTTAAATGCTTTTTTACATAAAGATAACTAAAATATGTAGCTAAGTGGCTGAGTTACATACTTAGTTTTGATATCAAAATGACTAAGTATAGTCATCTTCACAGATTTTTTTTTTAAATAAAATTTACATCCTCGAAATCAAAATCTTAATGGAAAACCAGAATGAACTTGTACTAAAAATTCCCCTAATTAGTTGCTATGTATATTTAATCTCTTCTGTTGCTCTCTCAGCTTCTGAAGACATCTCTGGGCACCATAGTCATAAAAAAGTATTAACGTTTTGAAGTCCTAAATTCAACAGTAGTGTAATAAGAAATTTTATAACTTCCATGTCTTGTCTTGCAGGATTAACAAAAACGCTGCATGTTGCATGTATGCTGTATAATAGCCCTATTTTGTGCAAGTGCCTTGGGAGAAGCAGCTCCATATTCCATTTCAATATAAGCTATTTTCTTTTTTTTTATTATTGTTATGCATTTAACCACTGAATGCAGAACATGGAATTGCTGTTTATATTAAGGCAACTTACAAATACATATATTAGTTCTAACTTGCATCTCTCTGTACAGAAACTCCAGACAGTTCAGATTCTGGACTGGGAGCGCAAGGGGATGGTGTGAAGGATTCATCACTAAGTGCAGTAACTAATCCTAGCCTTTCAGCTAATGATGATTTCAAATCGCATGAGCTATCCAATCTTCGCCTGGAGAATCAGCTGCTGCGGAATGAAGTTCAATCTTTAAATCAAGAAATGGCTTCATTAATTCAGAGGTCCAAGGAAACACAAGAAGGTACTGTGGTTTGGAAACTCAGCTGTAACATATTACTGAAATGCTAGTGAACTAGAAAACAATGCTATTTCTTTGTTAGTGTTTTGTATTTATAATAATCTTTCTAGTTAAATCTGCATGTATGACTTACCAAGCAAAATGATTCTTGGTTTCAGAATAATGAGCTGGGAGAAACTGAAAGGCTTGTTCAACTACAAAGACAACGCAAATGTTGATTAAAATGATGCGATCAAATTAGTTCCAAAACTTACATCTTATTAAAACAATGTTAGCAAATGTTATCAGTATTAAAATACTTTTCCTGCATTTTAACAGCTATTGCAAAATACTTATTTTTAAATGAGTAAATTCCTTTAAATGCTATAATCTCTGATGCCTAGAAACTGACAGTAAAAATATAAAATTTAGTATTTTTGTATGACTTCACTAGCTTTTTCAAAGCCAAATGAAATGACAAATATAAAAAATGAATATAAATTAAACACTTAAATGGCAAAACCTTGAGTAAACTCCTGCTGTTAGGCATACAACTGAGGGGCCGCTTTTTTCCCAAAGTAACCATATAAGCCAGAGAACTTTAATTTCCGTTGAAGTTTAATATGTGATGTTTGATTAAAAACAGAAGCCTCTGTAAGTATTCAGGCGTTATTTCAACACTGGTGTATTTTTCTACTGTATTTTAGGTTGAGCTTATTGTCACATTGAGTTGAACTAGATGCTTTACGCAGAGGTTTCCAAAGGCTTGCTCGCACCGGGGTATTCAACAGTAGGCCTTTGCAAGAGGTGGGGCGGGTAAAATTTGTCATCTGCAGTGTGACACAGAATGAAATGCCTGTTTTGAGATCACCTGCAAAATTTTATGGCTCATGCTCTGACAGCATTTGTTACTTCTGGCATTTGTTACTTCTTGGTAGCTCATAAAGTTTCACTGTTACTTCAACTTGGTTGTGTTTAATTTCTTTCTTTAAGAAATGTGATGTGTGCATTCTGACCATTTACAAGACCTTGCAATACCTACTTTTATAAACTTCAAAGAAACTTCTTATTTTGTAGAATTGAACAAATCCCGGGAAAGGGTTGAGAAGTGGAATTTTGACCATTCAAAGAGTGACAGGATGGTTAGAGAACTTCGGGCTCGAGTTGATGATCTGACAGAAGCTGTTGGTGCCAAGGATTCACAGCTAGCTGTGCTGAAAGTACGGTTGCAAGAAGCTGATCAGCTCTTAAGTGCTCGAACAGAAGCTTTGGAAGCATTGCAGAGTGAAAAATCACGGTACTTCATAATTACATACTTCATAATTCTGCAAATAGTAGTAAGTTTGAAAATTCAAGGTAGATAATTTAGTCTCTTTAAGAATAAAAATGAATAAACTAATGGGGAAAGGGATTGTATCAAGATTTGAAAGATGGGGATTGAAGTTTGCTCAGAGCCCGCTATATCATAACTGGCAGTGGGAACAGGGCAAATAAGTATTAAATAGGGGCAATTGTCACCTGATTATTGAAATCCATTTTGTATAAAGTATTTAGGTCTGTGTCAGAGGCCTGAAGCTGAAGACCTCAAGAAAAATGTTTTTGTCTTGAAAAATACAGTTGCTTATCCTCAAATATGAAGACTTTTCTGACTTATCTCAGCGCTGGGATATGGATTGGCAATTGGATACTCCAGAATATAGGTCAGGGAGGAGATGCCCAAGTCATTAACGCCAGGCCTCAAACCTGTAGCCAGCCATATTCAGTAATTTACTGGGTAAATTTTCAAAGCTGGTCTGAAAACCAGGTAGTCATATTTCCACCTGAAAATCACACTAGATTTCTTCTTTTTCAATTAATATGTATATTGCTCTTTCAGGATAATACAAGACCACAGCGAAGGGAGCAGTTTGCAAAATCAAGCCCTTCAAACTCTTCAAGAAAGGCTGCGTGATGCAGACTCCGCACTCAAGCGAGAGCAAGAAAGTTACAAACAAATGCAGGTTAGACATGAAGAGTAAGGAAGAGTTTCAGACTCTACTTTTGAGATCAAATCTGTGAGGTTCCAGCTGCTCTCTCTTCCCCTTGGCTTCAGTTCCTGTTCAGGAAGTGCTTGGAAGGATTTGCTGTCTGCTGCACTAAGTATCCTTGTGATGCTAGTTTACTTTTTATATGTTATTTTGAAAGCTTTGTGATTAAAAGTTTTTGAGGATTAATGCTGATAGTTTTTACTGTTTTTTCATGCTAATTTTAATGTTAAAACATGTTTTAAAACTAAATCAGTAATCCATTTAATTTTCCATGCTATGTTGTTACACAACAAATTGTTACACAATTTTAATATGTAATCTTAAGAATATTAAGCTGAACGATCACTTCTATGGTAAAGATGTGAGTACATCATTGCTAGAGACTGCTTTCCACACTTAGCTTGGCCTTTGTTATGTATAATAGCATCTTTGAAAATCTTCATCAACATCTGTTTTTTTTTTAAAGTACATTAAAATATGGCAGACTACATTTGATAATATTTTTTGAGGGGAAAGCTTGCTTTTTGTTTACGAAATAAATGTAAATAATAGGAAGATTGTTATTCCCTCACTATTTCTGGTGAGGGGAAGAAATGCATATTTTTGCTGATACTATTGAGCACTTGCTTAAGCAAGCAGGATTTCTTTCCACATAGCACTCATGCATCTTTAAGTTGGAAGGGCTAGATATGAGGTGTTATGTCATGTGTAGTTGCTTTTAAACTTTCTTTTTTCCTTTCCAGGTTAAAGTTGAGACTGTGTTTAAACACAAAGTATTGTTTCTTTATTGCTAATAGAATGAGTTTGCGGCTCGTCTAAGTAAAACGGAAGCAGAACGTCAGAACTTGGCAGAAGGGATAACTGTAGCAGAAAGAAAGTATTTAGATGAAAAGAGGCGAGCTGATGAGCTTCAGCAGCAAGTCAAAGTAATTAAGAACCACCTAGAATCTGCAAAACAGGAACTGACAGACTATAAACAGAAAGCTACTCGTATACTCCAAGTAAGAATTCTGTAAAGAAATCCAGTTTGATTTGTACACTTAACTTTTTTAAAGTGTTATGCTTCAAATAATCTAATTTCTGTTTTTTTCACGTGACCTGTAATATATTTTGGGGCATATCTATAATGATACCTATACAGAATAGCTAATGTCTATTGCATTTTGTAAATTTAAGTTTAGAGATTGAGTTAAGTAATTGAAATGGAAGTTCAGGTCCTGAACTTAAGAAAAATCCAAGTGAACCATTGCACTTACTGTGCAACATCTGTCAGTGTGTTCCGCATCCAAGAGTCCAATCTTAGGGAGATAAGTAAATAGATGTACACCCAGTATTCCTGAGTCAAGAATATTGCTCTATTCTGCTTGAGGCTGAAGCATAGCATGTAATGGATACTTACGTGTAAACCAAAGAAAATATTTTTATATATTCTGAAAGGTTGCATGTGATCAGCATTATATAAAGAATGGCAAAATCAGGTATTTTGTGCAGAGTTCTATGCTACTTAAGTTGTCAAAGATACCAAGTCCCAGCTTGGTCAGTTTGAGTCTTGTTTATAAAAGTTAGTAAATGTTGAAGATAAAGGTGTCCGTTTAGAATAATAAATTCAGTCTGATAGCCAAGGACAGGTTTTAAATCATCTTGATAAATACGAGAAGCGTGAGATCAGAATGTTGAGCTAACATTAGGTTGACTCTGAATAAAATGGTTTCTTTCCCAGAAGAGTTATTGCTGTATTTGGCTTTGTTGGCAGGAGAAAGGATGGGCTGAAAGGGGGTCAGTTCTGTCTTTAGTCTCTGTTAGTGTCCACCTTCTCTCTTATGGTAGCTGGAAAGCTATTATCCATGACATGTTTAACATTCCAGGAACTTTTAAAGAAAAAAGCTGTACTCTTCCTCAGATAACACAGGCTTTCAGTAAATCCAGTCTCATGGCATACAGGAAGTCAGAAAAGTTATCAGTAGGGAAGCATTTTCATTTTAAAATGCGTAGGGTCGTTATTAACTTGGCTAAAAGAACAGATAAAGCAGTTCTTTTACTGTATGTCTACATTTGAATTTTAGAGCATAGTCATTTTGGCATATTCTAGTTGAGCACTTGTTAAATACTGCAATAAATAATATATTGATTTATTATTTCAGTCTAAAGAAAAGTTGATAAACAGCTTAAAAGAAGGCTCTGGTATTGAAGGCCTGGATAGCAATACTGCAAGCACAATGGAACTAGAAGAACTGAGACATGAGCGAGACACTCAGAGAGAAGAAATACAAAAACTAATGGGGCAAATACAACAGATGAGAACAGAGCTGCAGGTAGCTATGATTATGTACACATGTATTTCTAGTTAACCATGCACAAAGGACTGTTTTCTTGTATACTTTAGGACTGTTGCTTCTAGTGTTCATTTGACCTAGTATTAAAATAGGCCAACTTTTGCTCAAGGCGAGACAAGTGCTTATTGATACCCAATTTCTTTCCATGTTCTTTCTCACCACTTCAGGTCATGTGGGAGGAATACTATAGATACCACTTCTCTCTTCCCTCACTGCTGTGTGCTCCTTTTGAGGGAAGCATTTCTTTCCAAACAAGCGTGGTGATTTCTGTAGAGATCACCTATATCCTTTTCTGCAGGGTTACTAATCCTTGAAGCAACTGTAATCCAAGTCGTCTGCTGACATAATTGGTTCAACCCAACAGTTGCACGCGAGCCTACTTTACACAGTTTTAGCCTGTAGACAGTAGAAGGGGAAAAAGTGAGGCTTTTCATGTTCACAAAATGCATTTATTTTATTTCTGTATTAGTAAAAATATTCTGTATAAAATGACCAAATGTCATTTATTCAGTACACCCTCATCTTCATTTTCCTTTGAAGCAATATTGCAGATACAACTTTTTTTTTTGCTGTTACCTATGACAGATTGCAGTATTGTTTGAATGTTAGTGAAAAGGTAACATTTCTGTTCATTTCAGGATATGGAGACTCAGCAGGTAAGTGAAGCTGAGTCAGTGAGAGAGCAGCTTCAAGACCTACAAGAGCAAATAGCAGCACATAAAATGGCCAAGCAAGAGGCAGAGGCTGAACTAGAACGGCAAAAACAGGTAAGGAATTCTTGAAAGCCGATAGGTCTTATTTTAGGCCTCATGTGGTGTCATCAGTAAAGCATTTGGCTTAATAAGAGAGTAGCTTATACAGTATTTGGGTTATTTTTTTCTAGTATTCCAAAGAAATCCCCGAAAGCTCAATGAATGTCACTAGGCCAAACAGTGCAACCAGTACTAAGCAATGGACTGGGCCTTCTTGATACTCCTGATAGACAGAGATCTTCCTGATGTATTAAAGAATAAATATGATGCTAGGGAGTGCACAAAATTGATCATGATCTTAAATTTTATTCAGAAGGGGAACAATCAAAAATAGGGGTATAGTAACATTTTTAACCGTTATTTATATCAAGAAACTCAAATACTAAAAATGGTTACTGTGGAACTTCCTGTGCTCAATTACTACATAAGATTTAGCTCGTAAAACAATGTTATTGTAGTACCAATTCATAGATTTTTTTTTTTTTTTTAAATCCACTTGTTACTCGGTTCTGAATCTAAATGTTGTTACTTCCAAACTGCTCTATAAGACAAATTGCTGATAAAATTCTATTAATGAATTTTGTCAGATTGTGTCATCTTTTTAAGCAAACTTCCCCCTTGATTTAAGCAGTTTTGTGCTAAAAAGAGGGGAAAAAAGGCAAACTCGTATTTCATGTGAACAGACTTATTATTCAGTAGAAATCAGACAAATGCTTTGCACCCTATTAAAAAATTTCTCTGTAAAAAAAAAAAGGTCATGTAAAGAGAATTAATAATGAGGAAAGCAGGAGAGTACACTGTATCTGCTAGGAACAGTTTATCTTACAGGATTATCTGTCCTTCCAGAAATTCCATTTTAATGAGATGCTAGCAGCTTGAACTAATTAAAAGGCAGAAGTCGGGGTCTGCTCTTGATGGATAGCTGATGTTTATTATATCAAAGCAGATGGTAGATTGTATTTTGTTACTCCTGCCCTTCTGAGGGGTATATTTTAAGTCAATACTACATATAGAAAAAGTGAGGTGAATTTAAAAAAAAAAAGGCATTATCAGTTATTACAGAAACTGAAGTATTCCTTTTGATGACACACATTTACATGTGCTTTTAAAGTAATTGTGTGCATTGACACTTAATACAATTATGGTCTGTTCTATCTGGGAGTTCCTTTAACTATTGCTGTAAGGTTTCTGAGACTGTAGATGGAAATTAAGTAGAGGTGTTATTTTCTTGTACATCTAATGGTTTGAAGGGAGAATAGGATTATCTGTTTTGTGTAGCAACTGACAGCTGAAGTGATACAATGATTTGAAGACCGTCTTAATTTAAAAAATAAGCATGACAGCTATTTAAGTTGGAGTTAAAATAGCCACTAAATCATGGGAGTAACAAAACTTACGGTTAGATTTACTGTTCAGTAAGTTGTCCCTTACTAATATTCCTTCCCCTTTCACATCTGTTACGTTAATACATCCTTAGCTTTAAAGGAAGATCTGTCATACAGAATTATAGATAGATATGCCAAGGGTTTTTAAACGCTTTTAAAAAAATCTGGTATCTCAGATTGATGGCTTTATTTTAGGAATACAGATTCCCCCCCCAAAGTATTTCCTAATTATTTAAGTTACATTATTGACATCATTTCAAGATAGGAACATAATAAATGGTGAGAGTATAAGGCAGATAAATCATGGTCCCAATGAAATTGTGTGACTCTTAGTAAACTAGTCTGGATTAATATTTATATTAGGTCAGTCTCCACAAAAGAATTTGAGTCTTATAGGTTGTGTCTTCATACTCAGCTCTCTTCCCCCCGCCCCCCCCATCCCAGCCAGACACTTAACTAAGATTAAGTTTCAGTTTATATTTGATTGCAGCATATTGCCTTCTTGTGTCCTACTGTGAAACTCTACATAAAAGAATGTGTCTCAAAATACATATATATATAAAATATTTGTGATTGTGATATATTTTACAGGAACTCCATTATACTGAAGAAGAATTGTATCGAACAAAGAATACTTTGCAAAGCAGAATAAAAGACAGAGAGGAAGAAATTCAGAAGCTCAGAAATCAGGTACTATGTGTGTATAGAAAATAACTTCATCACCTTCAATTATGAAAACAGTGATGAGAAGTATTAATTTGATTAAACTGTACAAAAGAAACATAAAAGCTCTACTAATGAGTTACAGTTTACTTGTTTTCAATACAGAGTAGAGTTTTGAGTGGAGGAAGTATAAGAAGGGAACCATGAAGTAGTAAATAGCCTAATTTATAATTGCATGTGCTTTTGTCTTCGGGGGG